TGCAGCCAATTACATCGCGACAGAGTCCATGTTGTCTACATTGCAAGTTTCTTTGAAGTTGTAGAAGTTATTGAATTGCTACAACAGAAATTGTCATCAGGTGTGGCTGAATTTAGCAATCAAGTCTTTAAAAGCATTTCACCTGTTATAATAATAATAATAATAAACAAGGATTTAGACATAAAGCCATGGGGCTAAAATGCCCCGCGTTGGGAGTTTTAAACTGAGTTTTATAGTTTCTTTGAGTTTACACAGCTATTGCAGCAGTTTATTCTCCATGTGCATGGGACACTTTCCTCATATTTACTGATGAAATATATCCAGAAAACGTTTTTGAGGCTTGATTTGAGTCTTTCGTATTTCATCGCAAACAGGTCTTCTTCTTCCTGAGTCTGTAAATTTTTGTTTGCTAGTATAGGTGTTCTGTGCCAGAAATTGCTTTTCAATTTTTCGTAATGATAATTTTTATGCGCTAAGTTATTTTTCGTTGATCTTCTTGTTGGGGCTGTAGATTTTTTGAACTGAACAAATTGTCTCCAATGGAAGTTGTATTGGTCGTTTATTATTTTATGAAGCAAGAGAATGTCGTGCATTTCGTGGTAGAGAGACAGTGGAAGCAGGTTTAATCTAATCAGTCTGTCTTTATAGTTGATGTTGTTACATGACAGTATCCAACGTGTAGCTTTTCTTTGGACATCTTCAATAATTCTTAATTCACACTTATTTGCTTTCCATATGGGTGAGCCATATGACAAAATTGGGGTTACATATCCACAGCAGGAGTTCAGTTTCATTTTTAAGCTCGCTGATTTTGAAATATTTCTTTTAATTAAAAATAAGCAGCCTATTGCTTTTTGGGCTCTTATTTTTGCGTGTGCTGACCAGTTTAGGTTGTTGGTTATTTGTATACCAAGGTTTTTTTCTGAACAGGTTTTTTCAAGTATATGGTCACCGAGATACATGTTTAGGTCAAGTTGGGGATCTTTGAATATTATATTGTGACATTTTTTCAAATTAAGACTCATGGAATTATCTTTGCACCATAAGTTGATCGTGATTAGGTCATGTTGGAGCAGGGAATGGTTCGTTGCAACAATTTTATAATCGTCTGCGTAACCATAGCACGTGTTGGTGAGTGATGACGGTAAATCGTTGATGAATGTAATGAAGAATACTGGCCCTAACAGTGAGCCTTGAGGTACGCCGCTACTAACTTCAAGATGGCTGGATACTGCCGCACCTATTCGTACTTACTGTTTTCTGTTGGTTAGGTAGTTTGCTAATAGTTTAAGTGCGTTTCCTGATATGCCAAATTTATTGAGTTTATATATGCACAAGTCGTGAGGAACATTGTCGAAAGCCTTTTCGAAGTCTAAGTATATTGCCTGTAGAGACTTGATATTAGGGTTATCAAAGTCATCATAGATTTTGTCGAGGAATTGGAGCTTTTGCAGAGTTGTCGATCGTTTAGGACAGAAGCCAAATTGGCTGTCATGGATTTGCGAGAAGATCTTTGGTGAGATTTTAAGGAAGATCAGTTTCTCTAAGACTTTGGATACTGCAGTTAGCAGGCTGATGGGCCTGTAGTTTGTGACCGATTGCTTGTCTCCATTTTTAAAAGTTGGGATGATTTGGCTAAGTTTCCAGATCGTTGGAAATGTTGCTTTGTTGGTGATGGTGTTATAAATCAGTTTTAGAGATGAAGTTATGCTATCTGCTAAATTGGTTAGGACTGTGTTACCGAGTCTAACTGGTCCTCTTGCTTTTTGGAGGTTTAATGTTTTAAGGATGTCGTATATCTCATTTTCAGAGAAGTTGAAGCATTTGATTGAGCCAGGTAATTCAGCTATTGGTAAAATGTTTTCATTCTGTTTAATGTTAAAAACGCTTACGAAGTAATTGTTTAGAAGATTAGCTTTACCGTGTTCTGTTGATTTGGTTTTTTCATTCCAGTGCATTGTTTTTGGAGTACTTGAGTTTTTTCGTATGCTTTTAAAGTATTTTTGGAGCTTTGAAAAATTTCTGCCCTTGAAAGTTGATTCTTCGAAATTTTTCTGATCTAATTCGGACAAATGATCTACAAGGTTTTTAAGTCTTTCAAGATTGCGGTTATTAGTATGAGTAATTTTAAAGGCTACTTTTTTTGATGCTGTGTTGAGACTTTTGATAATATTGGAGGTTTCAGGTGAGATCCAAGGTGCTAGGTTCATCCGGTGTTTGGTCTGTTTTTTCATGTGTTTTTCTAGTGCTATATATAGCCAGAGGTACCATGAGTTGATTAAGTGGTCAATGTTAGAGTAGCAGTACGGTTGAAATGGGTGTTCCAAAATGTATTTGTTTAAAGTAATCCAATCGACGTTGTTTATTGAGAAGACACAAAAGTCCAGAAAGTCGGATCCGTGTTGTATGGGAGTGGCTTTTTCGTCATTGTGTGTAAGAGATGATATCGTGATTAGAAAAGGGTTGTGGTCTGATAATTCTCTTTCTTGGTGTGAGAAGTGTTTTTTCATATGGTTGTCTATCGTGGTGTGTAAAATAATGTCGGGGTTGTTGCAAAGGACAATATCTAATTGTTCACGAGGGGGTTCGATAAACTGTTGAAAGTTCATATCAGTAAAAGTCTGCAGTACTAATTGTTCGTGTTTTTGGGTTGATTGCAAGGTTTGCCAATGCGTATTAGTGAAGTTGATGTCACCAACCAATAAAATATTTGGGCATTGAAATTCATTTGAGTAGTCAGTTAGCATATTCAATAGTTTGTTGAAGTCATCTGTGGATAGCTTATATTTGCTTTCGTTCGGGGCACTGTAGATACAGCATAGGATGAGAGGTGTCGGAGTGCTAAGGAGGAGTCCAACGCAGTCCGTAGTGTGTATTTCAAGTTTTGTGAAAGCTAGGGATTGCTTAACAGCAATAAGGAAGCCCCCGTGTTTCGATTTTGTTGAGTTGGTAGGTCTATCACATCTAGTTATTATGTGTGCAGGCAGAAAAAGCGCGTTGTCAGGGATATTTTCAGTTAACCAAGTTTCGCTTAAGCAAATGATGTCATAATCGTTCGATAGTATTATATTGCTAAGTTTCATACGTCTATTTATATCCAGTATAATTCGTGTATTGAATGAAATAACATTCAGCGATTCTAGTCAGTTGTCATTTCTAGTCTGAATTGTGCTGTTTTCCTCCGGTTTAATTGTAACTTTTGTCCAGGTGTCGTCTACTTTTTCATGCAGTTCTAGGTTTCTGATTCGAAGATTTTTGGGGTTTTTACCACTGCTGATGAGATTTCTACGTTCTCTCAGGATGGCGTTTTCCAGTTTCATTTCTTCGACTGAGATTTCCTTACTTATGAAGACATTTTTGTCATAATTTTTGAGGGTCGGTGTTGATGATAGTATCAAGTCTATTTCTCTTGGACAGGTTACTCGTACCAGTATAGTTCTGTGGTTTGCTCGTTCTTCGCTGAACTTTCCCAAACGCTTGAGATCAGTCATATTGCATTCGAGGTTTAAGAATTTCATGATTTTATTTACCTCATCATAGTCATGGTCAAGTCTTTTTCTTCCATCTCTTTCCTTGATCTCGGAGACCCCTCTTATTCTCAATCCTTTGCTCGGGGGTTTGATTATGTTTTGCGCCGCTACTTGTGACCAGGTTTTACCCTGTTTTGCTATTGGCAGGCTTTGGATGGGATCTTTAATATTTTCCATTTTTGTCGAGACTTTGGCTACTACTTTACTTAATTTTGAAATTTCTTCTTCAATTTTTTTTGATGTTTTCACTTTTGTCATGTGATGCTGTGCTTCTGATTACTTGATCTCTTTTTCCGTTGGACAAACAGGTATTGCATATCAGTAGTGCGTTGTTACCAAGTTCCAGTATTCCAATGAGTGCAACGGTCGAGAGGCCAGTGCAGACAACTTCAAGGTGCATAGAGCAATTACAGGTGATGCAATTGTATATTGGGTCATTTTCGTTTATGGGTTTCTTGCATGTTTTGCAAGGTTTTTTGTCCTTTGACATTCTCAGTTTTATTTATGTTTACGTCCTCTTATCTCTGTGGAAACTGTGTTTGGGGGATGAAGGTTTAGGTAGTGTACTCGAGTCCTCAGGGTGGTACCTAAAGGGCGCCGATTGAGGACTGAAGTATCAGTGTTAGGGTTATGAAAACAGTTGTTTGGGACCTTAAGGGTACTTGATGACTAGCGGGAGAAAACGGTTTTATTTATAGATGTGAATTCACAAAGACATCAAATCTGGCGATACCTAAAGGGTATCAATAAAAAATTCGGTCTCTGTGAAAATGATGACACCGACAAATGTTGTTGCCGCAGTGGTATATATTCGAGTAGCCCTCGCTATCAGTTTTTCCACAGAACTTCTTGTAGATGATCTTCTTTTTCAAAATCGTTTGGAGACTCGCAAGCGATGCTGTTGTTAAATGTACTTCGTCGGAAGATAGAACAGTTTTGGTGGTTATTCCTTTCGATATACCGCGATATCGCCAGAGTTCTTTCTTTTTGCGAAGAATATCGTTTACACGTTCCGTTCGGGCTGGTCTTCCGAGTCTGGGTGGTAGAGCGATAATGAAAACTTTATTGCAACGTTCTGTCAACCCTAGGCCAAGTTGGGATAATTCTTCAGCAACGTCTTCGGGTGTTCTCGTTGAGTCTTTTTTGTCTTTCGTAAACAGATCGTTCGCACCAATGAATAGAGCTATAATATCGTATTCGTTCTTGCGGGGCAAGAAGCTTAGAACATCCGCGATACCTGCACCAGGAAGGCTGAGGATATTGAAATTTGGGAAAGTTAGATTCTTCAATTGTGAGTCTCCGATCAACAAGTGTTGCGACGACGATTTCTTGAATATGTGAAATCTCATTGGTTTTCACCCATCCACGGCTAGGAACGGACGGGACTTTTTTTCGTTTCGAATAAGGTGTTCTTGTTCCTAGCTACAACTTTTCTGAAAACACACAGTTTGAACGAGGGAAGAGGAATCTATTTAATAAGTTTATCACTAAATCATTCAATAAAATCTATTGCTACATACCTGACATATCTTATCAATCTTTTGTTCAAAACTGGCTGTTTCGCGGAGTTTCTAAAGTGGGTGAAATCATTAATTTTAATATTTCATAAATTATTTGCTTGGGGAAAATCTATGAGCGGATTATGCACAAACCATCATACAATTTTCTTGACATCTGTAAGTTTTTCAATTCAAAGCTGTTTGGTTTTCGGAAAAAACATAATTTTGTTGATGCACTGCTAGAGCTAAGTGAAAAAACAAGACTCGAAAAAAATAACATGAAATGTAGCCATATATCTTGAACTAAAGAAAGCTTTTGATACAATAAATTATGATATTTTTTTCGAACAAATTGGAGGCCTATGGAATGAGAGTGGTTGCTCATGATTGGTTTTGTAGCTACTTGACAAATAATTTATACATATGGTAGTAATGCGAACTGGCTGCCGGTATGTCACGGTGTGCCTCAAGGATCTGTCGTTAGGCCCCTCTACTGTTCCTTGTGTATGTAAACAATATACCAGAAAGCGTCGAAAATTCAAAAGTATATTTTTTTATGTTAATACAAATGTGGATTGTGAAAACCAAGGCTTAAAAAAATTCAATGAATTTTTTAGCAGAATTAATCAGTGTTTGTAGATTTCAAAACTACATCCAGCGCTTCTAGTATAAATGTTTCTCTCAATAAAGATGATGTTAGTCGTCAACCGTGCTCTAAGTGTTTGGTTGGATCTGTTGACTCCAAGCTGTCGTTTTGAAATTTGAGTCAAAATTAGGTAGACACTGTAAGGTTGTTACCAATATGCGGCGTTTTGTTCCCATTGACTTCCTTATCAGAATTAATTCAGTAATTTCCAACCTATAGTTCAATTTAGTTTGCTTGTGTATGGTTTTACTTGCTACACAAACTTGATTCCAATTTTTATGATGCAGAGGAAATGTAACATTCGCCCGGAGGATACATATCGACGGAAAATAAAGCTAGGTTCTAAGACGACTGGCCAACGTCTAAACAGAGCTCTACATGCTTTTCACCGTCTCTACCAAGCCAGTTCTTTTCGTGGTCTTACTAACATCGGGTCGACAAAAACGTTACTGTTCTCCGGCTTCGACCAGAACACTCAAATTAACTTAATTACATGCAGAAATAATGAGCTCATGGCTGTGTCTCAGTATCCCCAGACCACGAGGTCACTCCTAAATTCAAGGCTACTACTATTTATTGAAATATTATTGTTTTTGTTCAGTAGATAAAAATCATCATCTCCATCGAAGATCGATCAACCCTTTCCCCCAACTCCTAGCTTCTCATCCTAGCAAAATGAATTCAGATGTTTATTAAATTCAATTCAGGACTTAATAGGGAAGCTAAAAGTTTGTATAAAACAGTTCCAGTCCAAATCCCGAGACCCCTCCGGATTCTTGAATCCGGGGTAATAAGACCTTTATCTTCCTCCCGGAAGGCTGTCTTCCACCCTTCACCGTTGTTCGCAACGGCCTTGCAACTATTGTAGCGACACAATAGTTGCAACTCGGAACGGTCTCTGCCAACTCTACAATTTGTTGTTGTTTTCCAATCACAATTTTCGTCGTTATCGCTATCGCCACTAATGTTGTTGTGTTGTGTTTATTTTAGTTTCTTCTCCAAAATGACCGTTTCCGACGTTTCTTAGAATTGTTACGTCATCAATTCGAATTTTTAAAATTTAGGAATTTCCGAATCCTTCAGCCTTCACGATTTGTCCAATCGTTCGAATAACGCTCTTATTCCTTCAAAACCGCCAATTCGGAAGGTTGGCTGCTGAAAACTCGAAATTGCTGCGTCTGCAGTTTGGTCCATGCTGATCGAATGTCACATACTCCTCGGACGGTCCGGTCAATGTCCTCATTGAATCTCGCATTGTTCGTAAAATTGGCACATTGTCATCGAACAGAATTTACAAAATGCACGAAATTACTCTTATCCACGTCATATCGACTCACTGCAGAATAAAAATGGCATCATGCTACATCACTATAGCCTTCAAATTTTTTCACTTATCTGCCCATTGAAGATATGACCTAAGATAAAAACATCTTTTTTGACTTCCAATGTCAATGCCCTGATTAAAAATTTTTTCTCCTAGATTTAAAAAGATGTTGGCTTGCAGGACAGTCCTGCCAACCAACAAGCTAAAATTATCCTACTATGCTTCTTCCCTTCGGAAATCATGCTTGTTATTGTCCTGAATATTAAAACTAAGAAACTCTGTGGTTTAAAAAGAACAATGAAACAATCTCCCTCTTCAAGATATTACCCAAGCCTTTCATGTCACCACAAAGTGATCAGTTCTCCTAGTTGATTAAAAACAGTCATGCAGGCTGGAATATTTAAATATACTCTCTACTCAAGCCTTTCTAAATAAATAGTAAGTGTCTCTAAAGCCACTAACTAAAATCAAAATGCAAATTTATAAATGCAATAAATTCTTTAATGTTCAAAACTCAACTAAATGTTTCAGTTTTCAATTACAACTTGGTTGCTTGGTTTCTCATTTGAGTTTTTTCACACACATAAAACAATTCTGAGTCTTAACTTCTTTTTTTTCGTCACTCCTTTGTATCTCTTCTCTTCGTCGTTTAGAAGTTCTAAAACTTCTAAGTTCTACTAATTTCCTTTATTTTTGCCTCTTGTTCTTTCGACCACTTGTCAATGTTCCATCTCTTCCTCCTGTGACACTGACTCTGCACTTTCAGTTTCTGTGTCTTGCAACACATCGTTAGCTATTCTGACGCTGTTGGAAGCAATCTTTTAACACTTCTGCTCTTCTACCCTCTGTTTGCAACAAGGTAGGGGATCCACGTTAGATTCTCTGTTTCGGCAGAAGCTGTTGTGGAGACACTACGTCACGTTTCTCTCCAAATCTTCTTTCAACATCTCTTCCTTCTCCTTTCCACTACTTTCACTTGTCCTGGAAATTTTTTTTACAGCGGTGGTCACTGCATTCCGATGAGTCACGAAAGCTCGCTTGAAAGCTCCTGCTCCAATGTCCAGTTGATATCCACTGTATACTCTGCCGTGCTTCGACATATGCTTTTTGGCATATTCGTACAACCATGCAGTCATGTTAGCTCTGAACCATGGCATCAATCGTTTTCTTGCCCATATCTTTTTCACTTCCATCGGAATGTTCAGAATCTTGCACATTGTCTCAAAAAGATCTAAATTTTTTAGACAATCCAATTTCTGCAACTGTTCTCTCGTCGGTGCCTCCTGTCAATTGTTTTCTCTCACACGAGCCTCCAGCCATCGTATCGCCATCATAACTCCCACTATCACTATCGTTATGGACCGTGAGTCTGGGCTGAATCTGGGCCATGAATCTGGGCAGCTCTCCAGAGTCCCAGATCAACACCAGATTACTACGCTCGGGATACCACCAGGTCTGCAGCAAGCAGTGGCAGGGAAACTCGTCATGTGTCAACATGATGCTCCTCCAATTACGTTTTCCCGAAGCTTCCAGTAATGGTTCCACTTCCATCATCACTCGGTGGACTTCATCATTCTCGTCTACTGTATTGTAATCTGTAACGGTTGATCCTCCCTGTTTCTGTCTTTCAAAGTCACTGAAGTTCCCACTCACGTATCCCATGAACTTCCTTCCCAGTATCAATTCCAACTCATCCTTTGTTCTCTCTGGAACTGCTGAGAACATCTTACATAGCAACTCGTAAGATTTTTTGGACATTCTCGTTAGTCTCACACACTTTGGCACTGAGAAGGCTTGATCCACGATCGTTCTCGTACTCTTTACATCCACAGCTACGAAATGCACCGGGTATCTGCTCTTGCACATTGGAGCCAATGTCGATCCCACCAAATATCGTGCTCCTGATGGTCTACAATAAGTCTCACTATGTCTGATGTTCATTTCCGCCTCGATCGCCTCCCTCCATTTTCCTATGTGCTTCTGCTCAGTTTGCAAAACTCCTGGGAACACTTCTACACTGATGGCGGTGACCATCTCATGTCTCTGTTCTAGATTCAATAGTGACTCTAAAGAACCAAACATGCTGTAGAATCCTAGTGCAGTCACTAGATTCACCTCGGTTCCTCCATGGCAATCTGCGATCAGTTCCGTTTCCGTCTTTGCTTTCATCACGACATTCCCAAACAATATCGTCAATTGCTTGTGTTGTCTCTCTAGGGTTTTCACACAATCCAGACCTCCACAAACGTGACCTTCCAGTCCAGAGACTTCCGCCAGACAGCTACCAGGTTTGACCCAGTCTTCTGGTCCCCAGCCAGGCAACTCCACTTTGTCTTCCCCGTTGCTCCTGGAGGCTGTTATCGTCACATTATATCTGATTTTCAGGTCACGCAGGTTACAGTCTGCGTTCAGCTCCCCCTGCACGTCTTGTGTCGCCCGTAATATCGAGTCAGCATTGAGACTAGGACACTATGACGGTCTCATCAGTTCCCACACTACCACCACGCTCGTTCTCAGTAGTTAATCTGAGAATCCCAACCCAAAATCCACTCTTTTGTCGGATTTTGGTACTGAAGGTGCAGTCACCTCTTCTTCTAAGACCAGCCCAATTTGTTCTGCGGATTATTAGCGCTCTTGATCGTTACAATTCTCGACGTCCAGAATCTCAGCAACACTGCCTGCTCGTAATCAAAGAAGCAATCACGTATGTCTTCACTCAGGAAAGGGTTGTACGCTATCCCTATGATTCCGGACACGTACCTGTACGACTTCTTCTTGATCGGTCCACAGTACTCACTGGATTTTGGCAGTGCCCCCATAGATTCTTTAGCGAGTCTCAGCTCCTTGTTCGAAAATCTCCTGATTTCGTCTATCTTTCTCATGGGCTCTAACTCCTCAGGTTCTTTCATATTCACCCTCATCGGCTTGCTTTGATGCATCTCCAGCAGTGCTAGCAAGAGTAAGGCTCTTGCTCGTTCATCGCCCTCCCTCAACATCTTGGCAAAAGTGTTCAATGCTG